ACCAGCTTCCCCACAGCCCCCCGATGCTGACCCCCTGCCACAGATCCATGTTTGGAGCCCTCATCGGAAGCCCCTGAGTCTCAAGGTTGCTAACATCCCAAGTACAGGAAAGCGGGTCCCGCCTCCCACTTCAGTGTTCCTCACGGAGGGGGAGCGGCTAGGCAAGCACCAGGCCAGGTCTGCACCCCCAACCTCCTAATTCCCCTCCCCCCACCCCGCCGCTCCTCCCGGCTTCCACGCCACCCTCGAGACCCAGGGAGAGGTGTTAGTTTCTCTCCCGGCACCCGCAGGGTGGCGGGGGTTGTGGCTGGGATGGTGCGCATTCGCCTGGGAAAAAGCTGGCAGAGAAGTGTGGGTCCGTCCTAGCATACCTCAAGTCAAAGTTACCGCCACTTTAGGATCCTCTCAAATATCCTTATTTTGCAGAAAGCCTGCTAAGGTGCGATGGGACCTTTGTGGTCCGAACAACCTCATAAGGCCTCCGTTCTAAACTCAAATGCTACCCAAGACCATTGCCCCTCACTCTCCAGACAGTACGCTTCCAGACCCCCTGGCCCCCTGGGGAGGGATGTGGGAGGCCTGGGTGGGGGCAGATTCTACCGCTAACACCTCCGGCCTGGACTGCTGCACTTCTACCCAGTCACATGGCTCAGGGACATGGTTGAGAGCTGTTTCTCCTTCCGGTGACTGGTGGGATCTTTACCTCGCTTCCATATATTTTGGGGAGAAGTACATGGGTGGTGGTGGAGGAGGGTGAGACGTAAGAGAAAAGGCACACTGCAACCTTTATTATTATTATTTTTTTGTCTTTACAGATCGCCTGCCCCATTCTGAATCTCCTGCACAAATTCATACCAACAGCTGAGACTTAGGCCTCCTTGTTTCCCTGCAGGGCCTTAGGTGAGGGCCTGCACTTAGTAGGCATTCAGTAAATAGTGACAGAATCACTGAATACACAATGTGGTCTTTATTGGCCACGCATATTGTGCTTAATGTTAGCGGGTATCCTCAGAAATCACCTGACCTATGACTTGTGGTGTTTCGTTGAATTCAGTGGAGTTTGATAAATAAATGGTCTTTGCAAAGACATTTTGATTGTTTTTTTGGCTGGAGGAATTCCAAAAACTGTGTGTCTGTGGGAATCAGAGTTGTTGAAAATGTTTTCTTGAACTTTTTGTATGGATGAGGTAAAATGCTGTGATTTTTAGAGTTTGGGGGTTTATAACCCTTCTGTGACTTTCCTTTTCATTTTGCTTTCTTTTCAATTTTTTTATTTCTCTGCTAGGATGTCGAGGACTTATGTAATGAAGTTAATTTCTTATAGCCACTTTGAAGCAGAAATTAAGTGATGTCTGTTACTTTCCTGCTATGTGACAGCTTAACCCTTGCCAACCTTAATTCACTTTTATGTTGTGTCATCTGCATTATTCAACTCTTCTTGTTTATTTATGATCATCTTTGTTATTAAGCTATTTGTAACTAGAAGAGAAATTTTATGGCTGTGAGACTGGATTTCAGTCGGTCAACACATATTGAATGCATGTTCTAATGAGCACCATTTGTATAACTCATAAAGTAGTCCCTAGAGCATATAATGTCTCACTTTCATGGTCTGTAAAATAGTGAAAATATATAACCAATAAATTAATAACCATGAAAGTGATTTGAAAGGTTATAATTGATAATCAAATTTAAAGTGTATTTACTAGCATCATTTTTAGGAGACATGACAGGAATACAAATTAGACCTGTTCTTATCTTCTGGAAACTTACAATCCAGCTATATGAATAATGTAAATGTAAATTGATAGAAACAACTACTATGCAATATTCAGTGTCTGGCATATTGAAAACATTCAGTAAACAATCACTTCACATTTAAATTTTCGGTTATATCATTATTTTAATAGGAATATGATACTGGCAGCAAATAAAGGAAGTATTAAGAAAACTTTCATGAAGGAAATGAATTTCTCCTTTATGGGCCACCTATAAAGATTGGAATAGGCAAGTTCTTTGTGTTTGGGAGGGTAAAGGTGGAGAATGAGAAAGATGTTTGATGAGATGGAGTTTGGTGGTGATTTGTAGGGAATCTTAAAGAGTATACAGATAGTATTAAATAGTAGAGATGGGTGAAACAGACATGATGGTTCTGTGATTTAAATTTACTCCTCACTACAGTGAAAACTGAGGAAGAAAGGATAGGAGAAAACACTTTAGTCCAGTTTTGGAATGGGACATTGGAAGAAAATGGCTATAGACAGAGCCATCACCCTTTCTCCCCGATTTATATACAATGGAAATTACATTGAAATCATAAGATCATTTATGAGCTTTGAATAGAACATATGCCATAAGATCGCTGGAATCAGTACTCCTTCCTATTCATTGTTGGTGGTGGTAAGGGATGTCAGATGTTGACTGGTGGTGACTAGGATTAAGATTATCTTAACCATCAGTTAAGCTCAGGTAGCTTTCTCACTTAGTGCATCTACCCATTATTCTGTTGCACTTGTTCTTAACTCTATGTAGTTCCCCCCTTCCTCGCTGGTCCCCCTTCACATATACACACTCACACATATTTGGCAATCTCCAGAGATAGTTTCAGTTGTGACAACAATAAAGCCACTGGAGTAAGTAGAGGCCAGGGATATATAGCTAAACATCCTACAATGACAGGACAGCCCCCATCACAATGAATTATCAGGTCCAAAATGTCAATTGCACTGTTGAGAAACTTTCTATTATGGGGATGAAGCAGGGGCTCTAATTCTGGAGAGCTACACAATGAATCCCAGAACCTAACTTCTCCTTATGGTAACTTCAATTGAAGATATGTTTTGTTTAATGAATCAAATGTACTTCTAATAATGGCAGTGTCTCTGCTTAACCCTGAGGCCTCCCTAACAGGAAAATCAGAAAGGTACCTGACTAGATTTTTTTACTTTTTAGAAAGTAAGAAATCTTCCTTAAGAATTTGTCATCTAAATGTTATTAAATTAATAAAATGTGCCTTTGGCGTTGCTTAGCAACTTATGGAAAGCTTGCTTTTTAGAAGTTCATTTGTTTGTTTAAAACTAGGGTAGGTTGCATATTATTAGCTACATTACATAAATCAACAAAGAAATGTACACTGAAAATGGAATAAGATGTTTCAACACATCTTCTGCTCTGGTGTCTGGCAATTAAAACACTCTAATTGTCTGGTAGAATTGCATCAAGTATTCGACAAACATTATTTATGTGAGAAACTTCAACATAATATTGAGTATGTAGGAGAACCAAAGGGGAAAAATTAAGCAGGTTTGTCATAAAGTATGTGTTTATCTTAACCTTTCTTCTTCAAAAATCTTATCTACTAAGTACTTTTATCAGACACTAATTATACTCTTTCTGAAAAGAATTTCTCCAACACCCTTCAGTGCCTGCACCCTTTAATCATACCTCATTACATCTACCTAATCCATATCTTTTTCACATTGCCAGGACTCATTAACAGTTTTAAAAGCCAATCTTGGACATTATTATTCCTTGTAATCAACATGAAAATAATGCCAATAACATTTTGTTTCTAAAATGGATCATTTAAAATTTGTTCTGAAGCCATTTCTTCTTTAAATATTAATGAGAAATTAACTTTCAAACATGGATTAACCTAACAGGAATGGTGAGATGTGTCTGAAAACCCTGAAGCACCTTTTCGAAGGAGAAGTTATTTTTATAAGATGTTTTAACAGTGGATCATCAGTCACTTTGAAAGGAAGTGATCCTTGATTAACAGTTGGCTGATATTGTGTTTCCACAGATGTGTGGCAGTAATACAGGTGCTATCTATGTAACAGGACAGGTAATTCACAGAATCTGAACATTTTCTTTTTCTGATTTAAAATGAATAAGCTCAAGTGGACCTTCATATAGTTATTGTAGATAAGAAAAAACAAATCCCCAATTCAAGTGACTGACAGGCACCATGTAGCCCATAAATTTCAAGTATGGCTAGTGTTTTATTCTTTTAGATTTTCCATTTTTAGAAAAGAAAAGTCACATCTAACATCTACATGACTAAGTTAGTGCCTCATGATGATGACTTGAATATCAAATCCTGCATTTCAGAATGTAACTACAGAAGGTTAACACATTACTCTCCAAAATGGAAGCTTTCTCCACCATTATACATTTTTTTTGCAAGTAATGTTTAAGAGTCCTAGGAAAGTTTAATGATTTGTTATCTATTTATTATGCACATACTATTAGGTATAGTGTTTGGAAAAAAAAAACACAAACCAAAGGTCATTGTCTTGAAGAACTGCTTTTGGACAATTACCTCAAGTTATTATTCAGTAGAAGTGACATAACAAAGTCCTTATTTTCTTAGATTTTCTCCCATTCATAATTTCTGCCAGATAGTAATTATCTCTTATTTTGAATGTTTTATTAGCTATTTAATTAGTTTTTTGAAATAAATATTTCTTCTTTAGAATTGTTTCTTCTGATTTTTCTCCATTAATTTGTTCCTTACAGTTGATGTGAAGCATGGAGTAAGATAATCAGATTATTAGGATCTGAAACAACTTTTTAAAAAAAATTACTCTCTGGGTACTTTTTTCTATTAAACTCTTTAAATTTCATTACTCATCATTTTTTGGGGATGGTAGTTTTGCATATACTCAATTATACACAACATTTTTTTATAGGTTTTTTGTTGCTTGCTGGAATAGCCTGAGTATTCAGATCTTAACAAATGTTTACAGTGACATCACAGACACAATTTCTTTTAGTGGAATTTCACTCCCTTTATTATCAATTAGTCTTTAACTGAATTTGGTAAATTTAATATAAATTTCAGCAAATTTAAAAATTACAGTGATAATAACATTTAAATGGTTTTTACTTTTGTAACCTAGTTTTTATCTTTGTATATTTCTCTCTAATTAGTAAGAAATATTGTCTTTTCTGTAGTGATCATCTATTTTCTTGTCCTTTTTGTGTTATTTTTAAAGGTTTCTCATTGGTGGATACAGTGAAGGTTGATGACATAACCATCCTCTTCTCATCAAAGGATATTTATTCTTTGGCATGCTGTTATCAGTCAGAGGTTTCCAAACACAAGTTCTCCTATTCAAGGAAAAGAAGCTGGATCCAGGTTGAAAAACATCTAGTAGGAAGAACACTCTAACAGTGTGCGATGCATCTCCAGAGAAAGTTGTTTCGGCACTCCGTTTTGTTTTTTTGTGGAATACTTCTCTCCACAGAATCCTCCACACTTGAAACTCCTAGATAGGTTCCTGAGTTCTTCCAGATTCGTACTATGTGTGAATTCTTGATCCTCTTCCTATTCTCCTCTGTATCCACAGATAAAGAAGAAATAATAAAGGAATAGAAACCATTTTTTTTCTGACTGAATCAGTCCCATCTTCAAGCACCTTTGTGGGTCAATTAGTCTGTTATTGCATTTCCTGTCCCCCACATACTAGTTTTGGTGAGACAGTGCTCCTCTTAGCATTTGTCTAGTTGGTCAAAGGAACAGTAGGACTGTGGCACTGGACACTTTTTGGCATATTAAATCAGAGTGTGAAGCTTTCACTATGACCAGTAGATCCAGGATTATATTTAGTAAGGTCAGTCCTTTCTGTCAAGATTTCCTGTGACATAATAAATGGATGTACAGCTACATGGTTCTGTTTAAGAGTAGGAGAGCTGTTGAAATAAATTATTATTGCTCAAACAATTTGTTAACACCAAATATTATTCTCAGTGCCATACTGTGCATTAAGAAGATGACCATGGAGTCAAAAAGATATTTTGAGTTTTGGATTCATCACTTAATAGCTGTGAGATCCTTTAAAATTGTATTGACACCAGTTTCCTCTGGAAAGTGAATATATTATCAAAACTCCCTCATAGGGTCACAGATAATTCACATAAAATGATTAGCACTATACCTAGGGTATGTTAAGAAATGAATGGTAGTTAATTCTTTAAGCCTTATCACTAAGAACAATAACAACATTATAATAATATCCAAATAACATTAATTTAATAAAATAACCTTCAATAAAGCAGCAGCACAATTGGGGATGCAAGAATATGATAGGGCATACTTGAGATCACATAGTTTCTAAAAACTACTCATACTGTAATATTCAGATCCCATACAGTTACCACCTTTACCTTCCTCTGAAGTAACCAATTTTTATTTTTTCCTTAGAATTCTATTTTAGTCATAATATTTGAGGAATAGATAAACTAATGGATAATCTTCTAGCCTTTCACAAATTGTAGTGGCTTACTGTTATTATCAAGATGTATTACACCTTCTTGTAACATTCCACTGTGAGTTTGGCACAAATTTGGGGAGAGGGTATCTTTGTTCTATTAAGTTCCATTAAGTCAGTCAGTACCCAGGAGTGGTTCTATCATTTTCTAGAGGCTTGGAGACCTCATTGGATACTTTGCTTTGGGTAGTGAGGGAAGGAAGCTTATTGAGGATTTCTTTTTGTTTCTTTGGCTTTTATCATTAATTTTATTTGAGGTAACATTTTTGCTTCAGAACACTGCTATTATTTAGAGGTATAGGATCACACATTTCAGGTGTGTTGGGGATTTTGAATACCTTATTCCATTGACTTGAAGTCAGGCCACCTAATTGGTCCAACCCAATTGCACAGGAGGTTGGGGATGTAATTCAGTTGTGTTTTTAAGAAGAAAAATAAATGGGTTTGCTAAACACATAGCCTTATTACTACCGTATCCACCAATCAAAAACTAAGTCTTACCATTCTTATAAGAATTTTCATCAGTGTCTACCAACAATGGTGAGGCACTCTTGCCTATACAATTCATTTGCACATTAAAATGTTATAAAGCTACGAGTATTAGAAAATCTATGTGAATAGAATTTGGACTTTACCACCTTTTAATAAGTTTTTGTTCTATATAATTCTCTGGGTAACTTATCTGAGGCGCATTTACCCTACTTCATTTGTACTTTAAGCTCATATATGTGAAAGAGATTATATCCGCAAATGAGCATTTTCCTTGCTTTTATCATCTTTTGTCATTATCCCAACATTCTTTTATTATAGTTGTTATTGAGAGCATACTTTCAGATTTAGCATGGAGATTAACTGTACAATAAGTAAATAGTGAAATGTTTTGTTAGAGTGAAGTATAAAAGTCAATGCTTTTAAGAGGCTTTTTTCATTGTCAACTGCTACTTCTAAGTGAGTACAGTACTTGGAAAACAGCAGATTGACAACCTTAAAGATTTTTTTTTTCTATGAAGAATCACTGTGATGATAAACTTTACACACAGTGCATGCTTTGCTATGATACTCCAAAATATGACTTTTTCTAAAGCTACCCTTTATTGATGACAGAGCTCCTTATATTAAAATCCATTTACTACATGGATTCCTAGATACTCTTCAAAGCAGAGTTTTAATGTTTTTACGATGGCATCTATTCATCATGGTTAAGAAAACAGATTCAAACTTCCTGCTTATTGTTGCAGAGTGGCTGTGTATGTAAATGATTTCCTTTCCATAAAGGGTATTTTATAAATTGTATTGATGCTATTTTGAAAGGCATAATGTTTAAATTATTTTTTCATAATTAATATGTATATAAGACATTGGTCTTGTATTTTGATATTTTTATTAGAAATTAAATCACTCCTTGTAATTCATGTTCAGTCAAGAGTTATATATCTGATACTCATTAAGATACATTAAGTGACCATTTTAATAATTAAGTGAAGTTATATGCTTTAGTTAATTTTATATTCATGCACATACTTCTATTTTAGTGGTTTAACACTAATAAATAATTCTTAAATATCTGTTGTTTTCCAACTGCTTTTTTAGTGCATTCTATATTTTTCACTTAATTACCTGTTTGCAAATGTAAAGAGGTCACAGAGTTCAAATAACATCATAATTTTTGTTTCTATGCTAGCCTAACCAACTTTAGCCTTTTGGAATAAAGGTAGAAAAATAAATATCTATAAATACATTCATTCTTTAATTGGTAATGCACATTATTTAACTGAACAATTCTGTGAGTGGTGTTTGCAAATATACATTTTGAAAAGCAGAAAATGGCATTTTAACTATTAAGTGGAAATAAATAAATATGTAGTCCTACAAGAACTATGATTAAGTATTTCAGGTATTAAGCATTATAAACTCTGTTGTCTTACATTACTATATTTTCACATAGTCTTTCACTGATTATATTTGTGTTTTGTAAAAATCTCCTTTGTATTTCAGAATAATAACTGGTGATGATGAGTATTTATTGAGAAAATAATTTAAATTATTGTAACCTTTACACAAGCATCCCAAAATGTACATTTCATATATTGTAGTGAATGTGAGCCTCTGGAAGAATTTCAAAGTTTTTGGTCTATTTAGATATATGTCATTGAATATTCATATGAGATCATTACCTTGAATGCTGCATATTCTTTATGAGATTTCATATAGTGTATTATATAGTAAAAGTGTTTAAGTGCTTTGGACTTTAAACTATTCTGTTTCATAATTTAAATTGGTATTACAAATTCTACACTTGTACCACTAAACTTTTACATTACAGATTGTAGACATTTTAGTGTAAAGTTTTCTGCATATTTGACAAAAATAATTTCATTCCTATAGTAGTGAGCAGAAATTGTGTAGCATATGAAGTAGTAACGTAAATGCTAATTACAATTCATTGGCAAACCATTTAAGATTTTATGTAAGTTGACTTGAAGACATTTTCTTCCAAAACAGTTGTTACGTTTCCCCATGTTTCCTGCATGGTGGGTTTTGAATTTAGCATCTGACATGTTTTCTCAACTACTGGTTTATAATGAAAACATGTAGGTACTCGAGGGAATGTGTTAAAAGCAAAAATTCTATGATCCTTGAAAGGTAAATGACAGTGCTGAGATTGTCACATCTGGATCAGAAATGTTTCATCTGTTTATCTATCTAAACAAACACAAATAAGATAATTAGGATCCTAACAATGAATGTTTTAAAAAACAACGTATGGCTTTGATTAGCTCAGAACCCAATGATTTTTCATTTTCTTTGTTCCACAAATTAGTAAAAATGAATTGACCTTCAGTGTCAAGTACCTTTGAGTGATTATAGCAAATCTCTATTTCACATTTTGAAATCAAAGATAAAATTCTTGATTTTCAGACAATCCTATATATACTTATCGGCTTATATATATATATATATATATATATGTGCACATGAGTACACATGCATATGCACATATATAATCATGGTCATGATTATGTCCATGGTTATGCCTAATTATTCATTTAAATTTACCTTACCATTTTTTAATTTTTTTTTTTTTTTAATAGAGGCATGTTTTTTATTTATTTATTTATTTATTGTTTTGTTTGTTTGTTTTGTTTATACATGCACTGGGTACAGTCAGAAGCGCGGGAGGGTGAGAGAATTCACCAGAGCCAGAGCGGGGAGCAGAGCAGGCAGAGGGACCGAAGTACACAGCTGAGGGGAGCAGCGGGCGGCAGCAGAGGTCTGCGGGCCATGTGGGATCCTCCTCTGGTGGCCGGGGAGCAGCCGGGGATCGAACCGGCTCCTCAGAGGCCGCGGGCAGCTTCGCAACCCAGCGCTCAACCGCTGCGCCACCGGGGAGGCCCCATTTTTTAATTTTTAATAGAAGAAGGTTAACATATTTCAGAACTGCTAACTTAATGGTGTGAAAAATCACATGCAAAAGTAAAATAAATCCCTTGGAAAAATCACAATTGGTTATGTTGAAAATAATTTTTTTGCACCATGGTAAACTATTAATTGAATTTAAAATTTAGTTTTGTATGTATATTAGTAAATTTAAAAATTTTAACATAAATATTTTCTAAATCATATTAGTTTTAACTCTTAAAACTATTTTGATATCCTGAAGACAGAGCTTAAAATATTTTGTTTACATTCCAATCACATGTCTTGATTTTAAATTGGTATAATCATACCTTCTTGGTGAATTAAAATGTTTTCTTTGAAGTCTAGTCATATGGTTTGCTATTAAATTAATATAATCATACTCTCTTGTTCAGTTAGGAGTAAAGTAGTTGTTTAATTAAACATACCATTTGTTTACAATGTTGTGTTTCAGAAATGATAGTTCAAAGATAGGATAAGGATTTATATCAAATATTTCAATCTGACAAGTAAATTACATTTCTTCTACCATAAAGAGGTAAGCAGAAAGCTATAGCAGTGATGAAAAGACATATTCTTATAACTGAGAGATATGATATACATCAGTCTACAAAATATGACCTTTTCCACTTTTAAGATCATGTAAATCTCTAACCACTAAAAGAAGGATTTCTTGGTATTTTA